CATACATGAGCCACAGGGGAAAAAAACAATGAGAAATTGAGCTGGTACATGATCATTTCAAAGCTGCATCTCTACTGACTAGCTTTCATAGTGCTGGAAAGTGCTGTGGTTGCTAATGGAAGAAAAAAAATTAGTAATTAACCTTACCCAGCTGTAAATCCTACAAGTTCAACAACAACTGGCCTGGCCAGATATTTACTTCTGGTGCAATAAGTGGCACAAATATTATGGAAGTAATCAATCACTTAATAATTGGATTTAAAGACTGCTTCGTAAGACAGAGCCCATACCTGACATTAATAACAGTCCTAGGAACATGTGGCTAGACATGCCACAAGCCATAGGGGAGAGCCTAATGGTGTTATTCTACTAAGTAGTTGTAGTATTAACTCCTAATGACTTATTGTTTTATATATATCAACTCTTACCAAAGAACCATCCTTATGCAGCAGATGGTGATAAACACAGAAACTCACAACTGGCCAATGTGCAGAGAATAAGAGACTGCAGAGTGATTATCCCTGGGGACGCCTGTATCAACTTTCTGCCTCCAAAGCCTCAGGAATCATTCAGGAAGAAGGGGCAGAAAGATTGTAAGAGCTAGAGGTGGTGGATGACCACAAAGAAACAGACTTCTAGAAAGCTGGGAAGTTACACATAGGAATGGTGACAGCATGCACAAGTCCCACCTGAGCTCAAGCAAGACAAAAATCACAGAACAGATGTGGGAAAGGGAGAAAGAAACCCCCACACTACCTGAGGAACTATTGGAAATTGATGGCTGCTGGAAAGGCAAGAGTCATTCTCTTCTAAGGGTGTGTGTGACTCTTAGAAGGTTAACTAAGCTTCAATGAATGGACCCACACCAATGACATTTGGGGGCACAAATTAGATTCTACAAGCCTTGATATTTATAGTAGAGTACATGAACATGGTAGTGCGTAGGAAGAGGGCATGAAGACAGGGTAGAGGATCTAAATACAAAAAAATATAGTATATGAAATCTACAACATTCGATAAGAAAGGGGAAAAAGAAGCTTCTCTACTGGTAGGTTTCCATATGGTTTTTCTAAAGTCTTTTAGTGTTAGTTATACTTCCCCTTACTTCCCCCTCTGCCCTGCCCTCCTATTCCTCAACCCATTTAACCTTTCTTACTCTATTATTTCCTTTTACTCATTCATAATAATTCATTCTGATAGAATTCTGAACTTTTCCCACCTGGCCCTGGACCTGGGGAGATTTTTAATTACTTCTTCCATCTCATTGGTTGTTACGGATCTATTTAAATCATTTACCACTTCTTGGTTTACTATTCATAGATCATAAATATCTAAAGATCTGTCCATTGTCAGATTTATTTTATATTTTCCAATTTAGTGGAATATAGTTTTTTAATATTTTTATTACTTTTATTTCATTTTATGTGTACGAGTATATTATATGTAAGTGCACCCATTTTGTGCAATACCCATGGAGGCCAGAAGAGGGTACTGGATGCCCTGGAACTGGAGTTATGGATGGCTGTTAGCCACTAAGTGGGTGCTGGAAAATGAACCTTGGTCCTCTGCAAGAGCAGCCAGAGATCTTAACTACTGTGTCATCTCTCCAATCCCAGAGTAGATTTTTTTGTTGATAGTTTTTGTTTGTTTGTTTGCAGGTTTGTTTTTTTGTTGTTGTTGGTGGTGGTGGTGGGTTTTTTTTTTTTTTTTTTTTTTGACAGGCTCTCCCTAGTCACAGCCTGCCTGGACGTCATGATGTGAACCAGCGTGGCCTCGATCCCCCCGCCTCTGCCTCCCAAGGACTGGAATTAAAGGTGTACACCACCATGCCCAGTGTGAATATGGGATTTTTAAAGTATATTCTGATGATTCTCTGAAAGTCCTTTGTATCTGTTGCAATGTTTCCTTTTTCATCTCTGATTTTATTAATTTAGTCTTCTCTTTTGTTTAATTTGGCTAGAGGTTTGTCAATCCTAATATTTTTGTTATTTTATTTATTACTTTTATGTGTATGAATGTATTGCCTGCATGTATGTAAGTGCACCCATGTTGTAAAATGCCCACGAAGGTCAGAAAAGGACATTGAATCCAATAGAACTGGAGTTACAAATGGTTGTTAGTTGCCATGTGGGTGCTTGAAACTGAACTGGAGTCCTCTATAAAGGCCAGTATAAGTTCTCTGTAAGAGTCAATGCTCTTAACTGCTGAGCCCTCTCTCCAGAGCCCATCTTCTTAATATTTTTGAAGGAATAAGTCTTCATTTCATTGATACTTTGTAAGTTTTTTTCATTTCTAATTCATTAATTTCAATCCTCATTTTGACTATCTCTTCTCATCTACTGTTTGAGTTTTTATTGTTCCTGTTTTCCCAAGGTCTTCAGGTGCATCAATAAGCCCCCCCCCTTTACTAATTCTCTTCCTCTTCCTTCCTAGCTCCCCTTCTATTTTTACATGCTATTCTTATAGTACTAGGTTATGTTTGTGGGAAGAGAAATTAGCCTAATAACTTTGAAAGATTTTTCATTGGCTAGTAAAGCCTAGGACTTTAGATAGTTGTGTTTTATTTTTCATTCAGTTCTAGGAATTTTTTTTTAATTCCCTTCATGATTTCTTCCTTGATCCAATTTTCATTCAGTCTTGTGTTGCTTAGTTTCCATGACATGGTAGGTCCTTAGAAGTAGCAATACTCTGCATCTCAATTTGTTTATTGAGTATGACAGAGTTGGAATTTTAATTATTCTTTAAACTGTACATTTGTATTTACTATCACATATACATAATACACAAATATTACTATTTGTATAAACTATGATATATACTATGATCTTTTTATTTTAAAAATTATTCTATCTGAAAAGAAAATCTCCCCTGTTCTGTTTGTATTCTGTTTTATCAGTAATTTGTTTGGATTCTAGGATCTGCACACTGATTAAAAATAAATAAATAAATCTTGGATTAAGGGATGCAGCTCCATGGTAGATCATTTGCCTAACATGTGTAAGGTCCTGGATTCCATCCTCGGCACAGCAAAA